TGGTTTCAACTAAATGCAAATATTCAATTGTTTTGAAAAGAAAATATTTATATTTTTTTTTTAAAGAAAATGAATATTATTATATTTTTTATTTTAAAAAAACATAAATAAAGTAATAAAATAAATGTTTCTAATTAATATGCCTAAATAATTATAATAATTTCATTGTTGGTAAACAAATAAAAAAAAAAAAAAAAAAGCTGAGATTAATTATAAAAATGACGAGTTTTTCTGAAGGTCCTCTTCCCCATATGGAGTCATCAACTGCTATATAAACAAGAATTCACATAAACTTATTTTACAAGTAGACCTGTTAAGTGCACATTATATTTTTTTATTGTTTACTTTCCTCATTTTTGCAGAAAATTATATTTATAATTATGCTTTTTTTATTACATATATATGTGTGTGTGTATTTTTATTTGTATAAAGTTTGTTATTAAATTTTATAAAAATTTATAACATGAATAAACAAACAGCATTTAGAAACATTTATATATTGTTAATTTTAAAAGAGCAACAATTTATAATAAATAGTTATTATCTTTTATGGATTCTAAAAAGAAAAAAAAATTGTTTAACCAGCATAAAAAAAGTAAAAAGGAAGAAATTAAATATTAAATATTATTAAATACAATAACAATAATAATAAAAATAATAATAACAATGATGATGATGATAATGATGATGATAATAATAGTAATAATATTAAAAATAAAAATGATAAAAATAATAACAAAAATAATCAATCATAAGATAGAACAAAGAAAAAAAAATTATAATGGCAATTAAAGTGATAATGCTATATTGAAGAAATAAGTTATGATAATAATTAAGATGGTTATGATAAAAAATGAAGAAATATATATTTATTTATAATAGTGGTGATTATAACAAAATCAAGAAAAGAGACAATAAATATAATAATAACAATAATAATAATTATTATTATTATTTATTAATTATTAATTATTTATTAATTATTCGCAATTTTGGGGTTAACATAAATAATTATTATCTTGTAATGAATAATATATTAGTTATTAATTACTAGATATCTTTATTCATATTTTATATTATAATATCTTTTTACCGATTTTATATATTGAATTCATTTTATTTGAAAAAATTTGAATTAATCGAAGCAACCACTTAAATTTTTTGAGACATTCAAGGAAATTAACAAAAAATTTTTTTTTAATTCTAGCAAATAAGGAAACATTTGACATCAAGTTTTGGAAGGCGCGCATTATAAATTATTAAATCTCATTTGCATTTATACGTGTGTGTTTTTTTGTATTTTTCATTTTATCTTAAACATTGAAAATATAATTTCGATTTTTAAAATAAAAAGTAATTAAAGACGTAAATGGATATTTTTTATTATTCTCGCGTGAAAGTTATATTATAATATAGATTATATTTCTTTCTTTTTTTATTAATACTTATTATTTGAATAATATAAAAAATTATTAAAAATTAAAAACTTAATTTTTATATTAATTCAAATTATTATTTTTTTAAACAATTTTTTACAATAATTTAAAAATATAAATTTTTTTTTAAAAAAATGTTATAAATTCAAATAATTATTATATGTATATTTTTTGTTTGAATTTTTATTTTTTCTGAAAAGTGTTGCCTAATTATTCATAAATGAGGATATAAAGAAGCATTAAGTAGAATTTAACGGATATAAAATGAAACAAAAGCGTATGTAAAAACCGGTAAGACCACACAATAATTTATTACAGGCAATTCAATTACAATTCGAATTGCTGGTATGGAACGAGTTCAAAGGAAGAAACTCGCGAGTTTATAAAGAAAGAGAAAGAATTAAGAGTGAGATATACTTGAAAGAATCTGGTTCTCTGGATCAATGCGATAATCATTAATATTTATGAATTATAATAATACTCACACTTTCACGTTAGCGGACATTTTGCTTAATATTTTTTTTATCACTAATACGTACGCGAATTTTTATGTATACGGAATTCAATTTTTTTTATATGATTAACTAATTGACAAAAAAGAACTAATTAATTTTTAAAATAATCTAAATTAATAAAATATTTTTGGCATCTTCTATTTTTTGTTTTAAAAAAATCTTAAAAGTAAACTACAATTTATAGAATTAATTATAAAGGCACAGAAAATTAAAAGGCATTAATATAAGCTGCAACGCTTATTATTTTAATCCAATTTTGCTTATTTTAATACCAAAATAGATTAAAATAAGCAAAATTGGATTAAAATAATAAGCGTTGCAGCTTATTTTAATGCCTTCTAATTTTCTGTGGGCAGAAAAATGTTTCTTTGAATCAAAAAAAATATTTCTTTGATAATTGGGATCTCTTTTACTGTGATACACGCCATCTGGTGAAATTTTTTTCAACTATTGACAGGAGGTTGCGTCCACCAATCAGAATCGCTTATATCTTAGTGGCGAAAAATGTAACTAACTTAGATCCAATAGGGTAAAAAAAAAATTTATTTGATTATAAAAAGAAATTTTGTTTAATTTATAAAGAAATACAATTTTTCTGCACACACCCCTCTTCTTTTTTTTATATAATATAAAAATAAAATATTTATATAAAAAAAAAATTTATTTGATTCAAATAATCGATTAATTAACTATTATCAAATAAATATTTATTTAATATAATAGTCAAGAAACCGATTATTGGAATCAAATAAAACTCTTTTTTTCTCGCAGTTTAGAATGGGAAAAATTAAAAGATATAAAATTTAGAAATTAAAAAGCAACGATAAAGAATAATTTTTATTTATTTATTTTTTTTTTTTTGAAAAACATAAAACCGGAATTCTTAAATATATATTTATCTAAATTGAATAAAAATAATTGCACTTTATCTAGATTATTTATAAAATCTGCGTGTCGTAAAATATTAAATTTCTCCAACAAAAAGTAAAAAAGTAACGTAAACCTATTTTTCTCGAGGTGGAGGGACATTTCGCAATATTGCTATGAAACTTGTTTTTAAAAAGGAAAAAAATAAAGTCTCTCTTTCTCTCTCTCGATTTGTTGTTGACGCGGCTGACTACTCTTTTAATGGGAGATTCAGAATGGATATATAAAATCACTGTCCAGGTGTTACGCAGTGACGAGGAAGTAGTATTCGCTTTCCTCACTTTCCGGCTTTAATATAACAAGTCGACAAAATCGCTCCCGGCAGAAAATCATTTCAATCGATTTATATTTAATAATATATATATATATATACCAAATTTAAAAAAAATTCAATCATATATATATATATACTTTTGCCAACAGTTAACGACGACTCTTACACCCGGAAATGTTCTTTCAAATTACCTCATTAATATCTCTTATAAGCATTTTAATTACATAATTAAGACTCTTTTTTCCATATATAATATACATGTATAAAGACTCTTGGGGTTTTCTCAAAAAATTGCATTGACTTTAATGGCGACTACTTTTACATAATTTTAAATCCGAATTTAATTTTTCTTAAACAATTGCATTATTATTATTATTATATAAATAAATAACTGTAACAATTATAATTATATAATTATTATAACAATAAAATAATAATAATAGTAATAAATAAGAACTCAAAAATTAGTATTAAAAAAAGTAATAAACTTTTTTAAAAACTTCATTAGTATGGATCAAAGAAGGGCACATAGCCCATTTAAATTACATTAGTTATATGTGCCCTTCTTTAATCCGGTAGTTCAATTTAATTATTTATATTTAACTTCTTCCTAAACTTTGTCGAGTTTTCTTTCTAAACCCTAAAAACTATTTCTTTGAATAAAATAAATATTTCTTTGATAATATATATATATAGGATCAAAGAAATGTATTTTTGAACTTAAAGAAAATTTATTTGATTTAAAGAAATTTTTTTTTACTCTAAAATAAACTTTATTTGAAATTGAAAAAGTATCTCTTTAAATTAAACAATTTTTTTCTTTTTTAATTCAAATAAATTTCTTTTTAAATCAAATAAATTTTTCTTTAAATTCAAAAAAAAATTTCTTTGCCAAAATAATACTTCTTTGATTCAAAGAAACATTTTTCTGGGTGATTTTTGTCAAATTTTATAATAAAAAAATAGCAAATCATTCAGTTAGCAAAAATTATTAAAATTTTTTTTCATTAAAAAATTTTTGAACGGTAACAAATTTTCAATTTTTGATTTGAAATTATGTTTTTTTTTTGATATTGTTTAAAAAATTGAGCTACTAATTTTGAATTTCAATTACAAATTTGGAATTTTGTAATATATATATTAAATAGATGCTTTGCATATTCTTTGCTTGCAATTGTAATTCTCGAAAGTCCCAATTTCAACACACTTGAAGTTCAAACTATTTCACTGATGATGGTTCCTTTTGTCAAAAAAATCACTTCACTTTCGAAAGAAGATTTCTTTTTTTTCACCCACTCATATACATACACACACAATAAAAATCACTTTCACTCACAAACAATTACTTTTCAAAAAAAAAATGAAACCTCAAAAGAATATCAAAATGTGCAATAATTTAAAAATAAAATGATTTGCTATTTTTTTATTCCAAAATCAAAGAAAAGAATATTCCATATAGCCTTCTTACAGAATAGATAGAATTTTTCCAAAATTATTTAGTATTAATTAAATATTTGATAAAAAAAAAAAAATTTTTTCTATTAATTTTCAAATAAACCGCCAAAAAGTAAAACTAAAATTTCTACCGATTTTTGAGTTGGTGCTAACTTTAAAATCAATGTTTTCAAAAAAATTTAAATTTTACCCTATTATATAAATAAATTAGTAACAAATTTTTTTTTTCTAAATTCAAAGTTATTCAAAAAGCAGTAAAATTTTGTTTTACTTTCCAGCGGATCAAATTATCAAAAAAAAATTTTATTCTGTAAAAAAAAAAAAAATTTGTTTATAAATATAAAAAACAAAGAGAGAGAAAATAATTTTTTTTTGCAAAAAATTGAAACTTACCCTCGTTTGAGAGAGCAAGATTTGAGTATATATTAATGTAAAAAAAAGAAGTGGCGCGAAAAGAAGCGGAGGATGTCACTGTGACAGTAGCGCGAAGAACATTCCTTTTCGATTGCCTTGAAGTGACTAAAGTCGAAGAGTTCGATTTCCCTTTCTAGCAGCTTCACACAGCTTCTTTACATTCTACTCGAGCACAAATCCAAGCCTCGAGCGTGTATGGCTTTCACTTCATGCCACTTCATGTTTCGCGGCTTAAAGAATTAAATACATGTGCACATATACAGACAAATATTATTATTATTATTATTATTATTATTATTACTATATTGTGAACCAAACTGCACCTATGGTTGCAGTATTCGCAAACGATAAGCACCGAATGCGCCTCACAGGAGTGAACGCCGGCATTCTTTTCCATCGCGGAAAATCTAAGACCTCGACCGATCGCGGTGCATTCGCTGCTCTTATATATGTATATATACTATTCGAAGGGAATTAAGCTGATTTGTGATCAGCTCTAGCTATATATATTCATCGCGATATCAATTTTTTTATATTGAATTTTATAAAAATAAAATCGCATATTTTTTTCAATGTACGCAAAAAAAAAATTTTCCCGAAAATTGAATTTAAATACAATTAGATGAAAATTTTAAATTAGAATTTTAAAAAATTCGGTCACCTATACACTGTTAGTCCAGTCAAATTAGTCAAAAAACATAAGGCATATCGTGTTTTAACTCAAGACCTCATTTTCTTTTTTGCTTAAATCCTTCATTTTGGAGTAAAAATAAAGTACCTCAATTTGATACTTCGAACTCCTACCGGAAGCTAAAAAATTTTGTAAGAAATAGGTGCAAAAAATAAGTTTTTTTTTGAATTACCGCCTTGAATGACATTTTAGCATAAAATTAGTTATTATAAAAGAAATTGTATAAAATTCTGAGTAATTTGATAAAAAAAAATGAACCCTGTATCTCAAAAATTGACCGAGATATAGCTTCCGCAAAAAAAAAACTATCTTTTTCGAGATTTTAGCAACAATCCGGTACACAGAAAATTAAAAGGCATTAAAATAAGCTGCAACGCTTCTTATTTTAATCCAATTTTGCTTATTTTAATCCATTTTGGTATTAAAATAAGCAAAATTGAATTAAAATAATAAGCGTTGCAGCTTATTTTAATGCCTTTTAATTTTCTGTGTATTTTTAAATTTTTTCAACATAGCTTTGAAACAAATGGTTTTTTTTTTTAAAATGACCAACAGGAAAGTTAAAGCTGACAAAATTTCTGACAATTTGAAAAAAAGAACAATGTAATAGCTTTAACAGTTTCCGAGATACAGTCTCTCAAAGTTAACCCTTTTGAGATTTTACACCTACAATGGTAATAAAATGAAATTCTATGTAAAACCTCAAACGGATCAACTTTGAGAGACTGTATCTCGGAAACTATTAGAACTATTACATTGTTCTTTTTTGCAAATTGTCAGGAATTTTGTCAACTTTAACTTTCCTTTTGGTGATTTTTTCAAAAAATCATTTGTTTCAAAGCTATATTGAAAAAACTGAAAAATACCTGAGTTTTGCTAAAATCTCGAAAAAAAGGGTTTTTTGCAGAAGCTATATCTCGGTAAATTTTTGAGCTACAGGGTTCATTTTTTTTATCAAATTACTCAGAATTTTATACATTTTCTTTTTTATAATAACTATTTTTATGCTAAAATGGCATGGAAGGCGGTAATTCGAAAAAAAACTTATTTTTTGCACCTATTTCTTAAAAAATTTTTAGGTTCTGATAGGAGTTCGAAGTATCAAATTTAGGTACTTTATTTTTACCCCAAATGAAGGGTTTAAGCAAAAAAGAAAATGAGGTCCTGAGTTAAAACATATCTAAAAATGCTAACTTGACTGGACTGCTTATGATTATCATATTTTAAGTGCGTGAACCACATTATTTTTCTTGTATATTTTTGGGCGTTCTTTCTGAAACTGCAATTGTTTTTTAAAAATTCAAAATATTTGATCCAAAATGGCGGAAATTTTTAGATAATTTAAAACAATTCATCGAATTCACTTAAAATTTGTTAATTGGGGTCACTCGGAATTTTTTTGAGGATCGCTGACTACAAATTTGGTGTAAGCGACCCCAAAAAACCACCGAGTATAACAAATTTCAAGTGAATCTGATCAATTTCACAGAAAGACAAAATTTTGACCTTTTTCAGAACTAAGACCCATTTTCGAAGTATTTTAAATCCGAATCTAATCTCAGAATTAACCCAGCACGTCAGATTTGCGAAATATTTTAACCTAATGGCGCACTCATACCTTTTTGGCTGCCTGCCTGCTTGCAGGTTACCATGGCAACGTATGAGAGTGAGTGCGACAGAAAATTTAAAAATTTGATTCAAATTTTTAAATTTTCTGTCGCACTCACTCTCATACGTTGCCATGGTAACCTGCAGGCAGCCAAAAATGTGTGAGAGCGCCTTTAAAAGCTTTTTTTGACCATATTTGAGGTCATATAACATCAAGAGATAATTTTTTTCAAAAAGATCGTTACAGCATCTGAAAGTACTACTTTTACCATTTAAAATGCATTTTCAAACTTTAAAAAATCATTATTTGTCTCTGAGTTATTGTCATTTGAATTTTCTGAGTATAATGAATTTAAAAAAAAAATTATCCCTTATTACATGACCTTAAATATGGTCAAAAATCGCTTTTTAGGTTAAAATATCTCGAAAATGTAACGTGCTGCGTCAATTCTGAGGTAAGAATATGATTCAAAAATGCTTCAGAAAAGTATAGTATAGTATAGAGTGAACTCAATTACTTTTTAAATAATAAAAAATTCAACATTGCTGACAAAAATTTTTTAAATCTTTATTTTTAGCTGAAAATGGTTACTCGGAGTTTTCTGACAACGTAAATTTAATATTTTTCATCATAAATATAACGATTTTTAAAATTTTTGTCCGCTATCTTGAATCCGTTATTTTTAATTTTTTAATTTAACAAATATATTCGAATTCATTGACTACCCACACAGTACCGAAAATTCCCCGAAGATTCATTGAATGTTTAAATGTTAACTTGGGAGTATTTAATCTCCAGGTTCAAAAAAGATTCTTTAAATATTAGAATGTCCGCATTTGGAGCAAATGTTTAACGCAAAAGTTGACTGAATATATGTAAATTACATTTTCGTTTATAAAGAAATAATAAATAAAATTAAAGTGTTAAAAAACCTTTTTTTTTGCTAAAAATAATAAAAATAAATTTTTAAACAGATTTTTAATGACATATTTCAAAAAAAAAAACATCAAAATACATAAGAAATGGTACTTCAGAAAAAAATCTTCCTTCTCCATTTGCGAATTAACAGAGCTCGAATTTACACTAAAAATCTGTGAATTTAGGCGAAAATTGTTGATAAAATCGTATTGAATATAGTCAAATTCGCGGATGCAGGAAACGAATTGAAAAATATTAAAATTTGTTCCCATCAAATTCTACCAAAAATAAGTATTAATTTTTTTTCTATCCAAAATAATTGATAAAATATTATACAAAGTACACAAATTTTGCGGATTCAGAAAACGGATTGAAAATTATTAAAATTTGGATAATAATTTTTACGAGGCCTTAGTTACGGTCTTTATTGATGTTTATTGATGTTATAAAATTGGTTGACAACGTTTCGATATACCTAAGTATCCTCTTTAGGTCACAATTTTGAAATAATAATGTAACATTATTAAAATTTGTTTCTATCAAATTCTATAAATAATAAGTATTCAAATTGGTTTCATAATAAAAACGATAACATATTCGGACAAATGGATTTTAATAATATTTTCTTCAACGTTTCGAAATCACACTGATTTTCTCTTCAGGGAGACTAAAAATACAAAAAAAATTATAAAAATTAAATCACAAACAAAAATAAAAAGAAATCAAATTCAATTAATATGCATATTAATTGAATTTGATTTCTTTTTATTTTTGTTTGTGATAACAAAAACAAAAATACAAAAGCTGGTTATAGTTAATTAAATTAAATAAATACAAAAATATATATTTATACAAATTAAATTAAATAAAAAATAAAAAACAATATACAAAATAATAAACACAAAAATTATAATAATATAAACATGAAAATAAAAAAAATAAATAAACATAAGAACAATTTATCAAATAAAACGATATAAAACTAAAATTAGCAGTCAGTCATTTTCACGATCGTTAATGAAACAATAATAAAATAAAATAAAATGATGAACATCCAAAATCAGTGTGATTTCGAAACGTTGGAGAAAATAATATTATTAAAAAATCCATTTGTCCGAATATTATCGTTTTTATTATGAAACCAATTCAAATATATTCTACTTGGACGTTAAAGAATTAATAATTATTAATTAATAAGTATTCATTTTGATAGACTTTCTATCCAAAATAATTGATGGAATATATTATATAATCTACCCAAATTTGCGGATTCAAAAAACGGATTGAAAAGTATTGAAATATTTTTCTATCAAATTTTTTAAACTGTGAGGTTAAGTTAAAATAGTTCGAGAAAAGATTATTTATAGAATCTCTCATTATTATTATTATTATTATTCTCAAGGATCATTGTTTATTTATTTTAATTATGGAACATCCCTGGCGGATCTCGAAATTGAAATGAACGCTGAATTCGTTATACATTCGTTACACATATTGATTAAACATTTAGTTGGAGTGAAAATTGTGTAGAAACTGAGTGGAAACTGTGGAAAAGTGTAATTGAATTGAATAATAAAAGTATTTAGTGATAGATTTGTGCTGTATTTGTGATAAATTAACGTATTATTATTAAATAAATAAAGTTTAAAGTGTAAAATGTTCGCGTAAGTAAGTTTGACAGGCTAGGGAATTTTCTAGTGACATCCAACTTGATAGTCGATAAAGAAATTGAGCCGCCGACTTTGCACGGTAGGTGGCAGCATTCATACTTTCTCCTCTTTAAAAATTCTCTTTTTCAATTGTAAATAGAAAAATTAATTAATTAATAAGTTATATAGTTTCTATGTTGTCATTTTTTTAACAATTGAATTTTTGAAGATTGTTTAATGAGATAAATTAAACTTGTATAATCGATGCAAATTGTTGTTTTTTAATTAAATTCAATTAAATTAATTTAATCATAATTTTAATAAAGAAAACTTTTTTTATTTTTCTTTATTTTATTATTATTTATTTTTAATATAAATGTAATTAAAAGAAAAGATTTATTTAAAAGTATTTTAAAAACAACAATTTGCATCGATTATACAAGTTTAATTTATCTCATTAAACAATCTTTAAAAATTCAATTGTTAAAAAAAATGACAACATAGAAACTATATAACTTATTAATTAATTAATTTTTCTATTTACAATTGAAAAAGAGAATTTTTAAAAAGGAGAATGTATGAATGCTGCCACCTACCGTGCAAAGTCGGCGGCTCAACTTCTTTATCGACAAACTCACTTACGCGAACATTTTACACTTTAAACTCTATTTATTTAATAATAACACGTTAATTTATCACAAATCTATCACTAAATACTTTTATTATTCAATTCAATTACTCTTTTCCACAGTTTCCACTCAGTTTCTACACAATTTTCACTCTAACTAAATGTTTAACCAATGTGTAACGAATGTACAACGAATTCAGCGTACATTCCGATTTCGACATACGCCAGGGATGTAAATGAATAATGACAAATAATCAAAAAAGTTATTAAAAATAAACTAAATCGACTGAATCTAATGTAATTTCCAAACGTTTGCACACAAAATATATAAGCTGTATAGGTGCGAGAGCAAGAGTATTTTATATACTATTAGTACCAAAAAACACCGCTTGAGAACAGCATCAGACGAGTAGACAAAATTTTCTATTCAAATAATTACAAATTTTTTTTTATTATTGTTTAATTTAATTCATAATTTTTTTTATCATTACTTTAAATATTACTATTTAAGTTATCAATTAATTTCATATTATTAATTTTTTTTCTAATATTTAAAATAGTATGTACAATAAATATTGGGATGTACACAAAGGATGTGTTGTTAAATATTATAAGGTGAAACGTCCCAAATGTTACACTCTCATTGTGTTTAGACCTTTCTATTTTTCCGCGTAAAAAAAAAATCGTCTGCTAGACACGTTGCTTAATCAACATAACCTTATTAAAATGTCGATATCGTAAACGCGTTTAATATAACAAAGTTTTAAATTTTTTTTTAAAATTAAAAAGAAATTTAAAGAATTATATTGAAAAATAAATAATGGAATCGGAAAGTGGAAAAAATGAGAAAAAATGTTGCAGAAAACAAAAAAGAGCTCAACATCGTCTGGCAAGAGATTTAAATATTATTTGTTCAGAATCTCCAACAAAGGTAAATACAATCTATTTATTTAAATAACATATATTTATAAAATTATCATCTACAATGAAACATGAAAATAATATTTTATAAAATTATCTGTTTTTTATATATACATGAGGTTTGTAATTTGTTTCAATAGGCAAAAATTAAACTTTTCCTTAGTATATTTAAAAATAAAATTTGTTTGCTTTAAAAAATTTACTGGAATTTTTTTTTTTTAATTTATTATTTTTTAAAAAAATGAGATACATAATCACTTTTTAAAAATAATAATTATTTAAATAAATTTTATTCTTTTTTAGTATATAGTAATTTGCAATGCAGGATTAGTAACTGGATTGTCTGAGGATACTTTAAAGCAAATTTTAAATCCACTTGTAACGAAATATTTTATAAAAATGCCACTTGGGAAATCTTATTGTTTCGTTGAATTTTTAAATGAAACGGATGCAAAAACAGTTTACGATCATGTACACGGAAGTGTTAAACTTTTGCAAGAAAAACATCCTCTTTATATGACATTCACAACATCAGGTTTTGAAATATTATTATTAGTTTTTATTTATTACAAAAAATTTTTTTGAAGCTAAATTAATTATAATAATTTGATTACTATTATTATTACTATTATTATTATATTCATGACGTCAATCTAAAATTAATACTAAACTATTATTATTATTATTATTATTATTATTATAAATTTAAATTAATAAAATCTTTTATTAAAACGAAAATAGAATATTTAAAATACATATTTGGGTATTTTATTAAATTTTCTAATTTGAATTTTAGTTCCACAAATGGAAGAGACTTGTTCTAAATTTTTAATTCCTGGACTAAGAGTAATAGAAAATTTTCTCACTGAGGAACAAGAGGAAGTTTTATTAAAAAGTATTGTTTGGGAAGAAGATGGTAAGGTGAATAATGATTTTTTTAAAAAATTAATTACACTTTTAATTTTATTATTATTTATTTAATAAAATTAAATTTGTAAAATAATTATTGATAGAATTTCGTTTAAATAAAATTATAAAATATATAATTTGCCAGATATTAGTGTAATTACTATTTTGAATAATTAATTAACTCTTCTTATTTATTGTTTTTAATTTTTTAATTTTCCATTATTTTTATTTTCTATTATTTTTATATTCCATTATTTTTTATTATCTACTATTTTTTTTCATTTTCTACAACTTTTTATATTTTCTATTACAAAATGTAAATTAAAATTTTTTATATTTACAAATAGATGATGTTTCATCGGAACTAAAACATAGAAGAGTAAAACATTTTGGTTACAAATTTTGCTACGATACAAATACTGTTAATATTGATGATCCAATAACACCGATTCCTCAAGATTATCATTTTTTGCAAAAATTATTCAATGAAGCTGAATGCGGGGGACATGAGTTTGATCAAATAACTATAAATCGTTATCTACCAGGACAAGGTAAATATTTAAAATTAAAAATTTTTTTTTTTTAAATATATCCAAATCTTAGCAATTTTCATTAAATTTGTATTTTATAAACTCATAAATTAATTTATTAAAAATAAAAACTTTCACTAATCCTTGTTTTAAGAATATTTCAATTCCAAAAATTGCAGAAATTAAAATTTTGAATTTATTTATTTCTAAATTTTTATTTAATCGAATTTTTGTTTAGATAAATTTTTATTTAACACCAAAATCAAATTTTAATCTAATTGGTTTTTATCGTTTTAACGCTTTGAAAATTTTAAAACATTCTAAGAGATTTTTTCCAATAAATCATGTAAAAAATAAAATTGGAACAAGAATGCAAAAGAACGAAGAAAAGTTTTTTAAAAAGATTGTTAATTGTAAATTTCATTTTTTATCAATAATTTTTTTTTTATTGTTAATTTTTTTTTTCTGTTTCTCATCAGATTCTTTTTCATTTAATATTTAAGGGCATTTTTAAATTTCTAATAAAAAATAAATAAATATTTTTAATTTATTTTCACAATGTATAGGCATTCCACCGCACATTGACACTCATAGTGTTTTTGAAAATACAATTTTATCATTATCATTGGGATCATCTAGTGTAATGGATTTTAAAAGAGGTAAAGAGAAAATATCAATTTTACTGCCAGCTCGCTCTTTATTGATAATGAGCGATGAATCGCGATATGCATGGTCGCATGGAATTTGTCCCCGGCACAATGACACTACACAAAATGAAAATGGAACCACAGTTCAAAAACGTGGAATTAGAACTTCATTTACTTTTCGAAAAGTTCGAAGAGGTGATTGTCAATGTAATTATCACGAATATTGTAACACAAATAATACTCAAGAAACAATTAGTGAATTAAATGCAAAAGGAATTGAAAATTTATACGTTCATGAGGTAAAAGAATTTAATTTTTTTTTTTTTGATAATTCTCAAGAAATTTGAATAAAAATTTTTTCAAGTTTTCAAAAATTATCTTTTAAATTTTTTTAATTAAAAAACTGTAGTTTAAAGAATTTTTAACTAAATAAATTTTTAATCATTCGGGGCACATGAATTTTCCAATAAAAATTTTTTTTTTTATTTTAAAGAATTTTATTAGAAATAATTATTTTTTTAGATGAATTTTTACAAATTTTGAATTAAAATTTGATAGATTTTCTTTTTATACGAATTTTTACATAAAAAAAATTTTTAGCTACCTAATTTTTTGTTTGGCAGAATTTTTATTTTCTAATAATTTCGAATTTTTAAATAACATAAATTCCAATTCACTGAATTTTCATTTATATAATTTCGGACAAATGAAAATTCAGTGTCTTAAAAATTCGTACAAATAAAAATTTGGACAAATTAAAATTTGTGTGAATTCGAATTTATGTCATTTAAAAATGAGCCGAAAGTTTTGAACGTTCATATGAACGAAATATTTTTTTCAATCTATAAATTATTAAAAATTATGATAACCATGTAAAATAAAACAGTAAATTAAACAATTATTAAATTAATAACATCTTTTTAGATATTTTAAACAATATTTTATAATAAAATTCGAAGTTGCAAAAAAAAATTTCGTTCATATGAACGTTCAAAACTTTTGGCTTATATTTAAAAATTCAAATCACATAAAATTCTATTGAATGATAATTCTTCTAAATTAAAATTGAATTAAATTAATATTCTTTTAAATAAAAAGTCATGTAAATTAAATGACTTTTGAATAAAAATTCTGCCAAACAAATATTCGGTAGCAAAAAATTTTGTTAAATAAAAATTTATATAAAAAGAAATTCTATCAAATACTAATTTAAAAAATGAAAATTTGTCAAAAAAAATTATTATTTCTAATAAAATTCATTAAAATAAAAATTTTAATTATTAATCTCTATGGGATCGAAAAAAATTGGAGTTTTTACATTTTTTTTCGAAATATTTCCTAATTCTCAAAATTTTATTCAAGATTTTATGTATTATTAATTTAGCAAAAATTTAAGATAACAAGAAAATAAATAACAATCGTTTTATTTTTTTGAAATTTCTTTATCGAATTGAAAATTTACAGGTTTATGAAAAAATTTCTGATCATTTCGATCAGACTAGACATAAACCATGGCCAAATGTTTCTGCATTTTTGGACACAATAAAAGTTGGAGGACTACTTTTGGACGTTGGTTGTGGAAATGGAAAATATTTACTTGGACGACCCGAAATTTACAAAGTAAGTTTATTAATAATTATAAAATAAAGTAAACTATATATTTTTTTTATTTTTCTTTAAATAGTAGATATAAAGTAAAATCTAAATTAAAAATAAATAAAAGGAAAATAAATAAAAAGGAAAATTTAAGCAAAATTAAAAACAAATTTTATCTACAAATCTTTAAGTTTATTTATTTATTAATAATTGTTAATAATTATTATTGTTATTATTATTTTATTATTAATAAAATTATTAAATTCCAATTAAATGTGAAATAATTTTCTTTTTTTTTTTTTTTTGTGAATTTATTTTGCAGATGGGATGCGACAGAAGTTTGGGACTTGCGGAAATTTGTCGTAAAAGAGAATTTGAAGTGCAAATTTCAAATTGTCTCTCGCTTCCCTATCGTGACAATTGTTTCGACGCGGCAATTAGTATTGCTGTAATTCATCATCTTTCAACCGAGGAACGTAGAAAACGTGCAATTTTTGAAATTATTCGTATTTTAAAATACGGTGGAAAATGTTTAATTTATGTTTGGGCCAAGGAACAAATAAAAGATTCAATGCAATCGACATATTTAAAATCAAATTCAAAATTAGAGACATTAAATTTTCAACGTGAGAAAAAAGAATTATTTGGAATTACACTTCCAATACATGAGAATCGTACTGAATTTATACATTGTGATAATTTAGTTCCATGGAAGAGAAAAGATGGTGATAAATTTTTACGATTTTATCATGTTTTTCAAAGTGGTGAACTTGAAAAACTTTGTTCAACATTTTCTGTTGATATTGAAAAATCCTATTACGATCAGGGAAATTGGTGTATCATTCTCAAGAAGAAATGAACGAAATAAGAAAATAAAAACTTTATTTTATAAAAATTTAAAGGATATTTAAAATAATTTAAATAATTTTTAAAGAATATTTTTAATTAATTTAAAGAATTACAAAATTTAAAAATTGTAAATTTTGATTTTAGTCGTGTAAATAAATTTCGTATTTTTACGTACAGGAATTTTTTACTTTTATTATTTTAATTTAAATTATATTTAAATTTTAATTATATTTTCCTTTTTAATTTTTGTTTTATTTTATCCCTTCAAGTTTTATTGGAAACAAATTTTGAAAATTTTACAAATACAAATTGTGATTATTAAAAATTTTTAATTGGTATTCTAAATTATCTTTTTTTTTTAATTTTCTACAACATAAATTTGTAAATTTTCCTCTAGAAAATTAGCTTATTAAAAAAAAATTGATTTTGGGATCGAAAAAAGCTTTTAAATTAATAAAGAAAGCAGAAAATTATGAACTTGAATTGATACTTTCTTTAGATATTCACTTAAGAAATTTATTCAGCCACAAGTCGAAACATAAAAAACTTATACTAAATAATATTATATTATTCGAATATGAAAAAGAATTTTTTCTTTCTTTTTAAATGCAATTCTATTTAAAAATTATTTATTAATTTTTTTTACAATTATTTTAAAACTAAATTTTTTTAATTAGGTGTGAAATAATTTTTTTTTAATTTCAGAAACGAATGATTTAAATAACATTAAAGTATTAAGATTATTGCAATCAGATAAGAATTCTTAAAAAGAATAACAATTATATGTGATGGAATATATAATGAGTTTGTGGTAATTAATTACATTAAGATAAAATTTCCAATTACATGTAATTTCAACGAAATACAATACAATAGATTAGTCATGATATTATTATCATAATATTATACCATAAGTGAAATAAAAATGTTAATTAATTAATTAAATTATAGTAATTAATTAATAATTATTTTTTTGTATTAATTTCTGTAATTAATTTTGGGGGAAATATTTTAAATATCCAATAAAATCAATAAATATTTAATATAAGAGAGAATCCTTTTGAATCCACCATTCGTTTTTCCACATTTTTCTCCCACTCTTCGCGTTGAAAATTAAAAAAAAAAAAAAAAAGTGGGAGTTCTTATTTTGAATAAGTTAACGTACAGTGCCATTTCACAAGTTTGTTTTGTCTCAACAATAACAGTTTCTGAGTGTTCCCAACAAAGTGTTTTTGGAAAAAAAAATTATTATAAATTCAAATTAAAAATGCATATTTTACTCTTTTTTACTATTTGTGTTGTTATTATCGCTACAGGTAATTTTATTTAATTTAAAAAAATAGTTTTTCATTACAAGAATTATAATATAATAATTATTATATAATATTATTAATTATATTAATTTATATAATTATTATAATAATTTATTAAATTATTATATAATTATTATTATATTTATTATTTTATTATTATTTTATTTTATTATATTATTATTATTTATTATTATTATTATTATTATTATATACAATAATTATATTATAAATATAAAGCTAATCAACAAGTTTTCTTTCAATTTTCACATTTAATTATTATTTATTAAACATTTCAAAAAATAAAAAATCTACAATAAATAAATAGAATAATATAATATCTAACATATAATTTTTAAACAAGAATTAAAATTGATTTTTTAGAACCGCCGTGAAAACATTTTTTTAAATAACTTTTAATGAACGTAAAACAAATATTATTATTGATGAAAAATATTTTTAAAAAATAAGAAAAATTATAATAAATTATATAGTCATTTAATTATATTTCGAATGAAATCGTTGCCGAATAATTTTAAAAAATTACATTTCAAAATAAAAAATTATGACACTCTACAGAAAGTATTTTTTTTTTAGAATTAAATAAATTATGAAATTTAAAAAAAAAATTAAATTAAAAAATAGTTAGCTTTAAACTAAAAATTTTTTTTTTGGGTACGTTTTTATATTTATAATGGAACTCATTATGTCCATAATCCCAAAAAGTATGATTGGTTTCTGAATAACGTCAAAGAAATTTTTTTTTTTTTTTACAATTTTACACGTCATCCGCCCTTGTACATTAAATTTATTTATTCCAATATTATTTAAATAACATTTATTGTTAATTAAAATGTTAAATTAAAATTATTATTAATTATTTATTAATATTTTACTATTATTATTATATTTAATTATTTATTAATTATTTTAATTAAAAAATATAATAATAATAAAATATTAATAAATAATTTATTGAAATGTAATTAATTTATTATTATTAATTATTTATTAATATTTTATTATTATTATCTAATTATTTAGATTTATTATTTTGTTATTTATTAATTAATGTTAATAAATTTAATTTTAAATATTTATTTAAATTTTTAATATTTAAAAAAATCTATATATAGATTTGTTAAAAAAGAATTAAAATTTTAAAAATCCTTAAATTTAATATTTATAGGAATTTTAATAAAAAAAAAAAATTAATTAATATACAATTTTGTCTTAGGCGAATCAATTCAGTGTTACAATTGTGTGGATGGACCGGATCACATTCCAGGATTACATAAATGTATTTTACCATTTTCAATAAACGATACAAATCAAAAATGTACAGAAGAACATGGATACTGCATGAAAGGCACTGGTAGTTGTAAGTACATAATAAACATTTTTAAAAAAAAATTTTTAATATTATTTTTACATTTTAACTGTATTTTATTTTGTATTATTATTCAAATTATTATATGTGTAATTTAAAAAATGATTCAGGAGCTTGGTAGCACAGTTGGCCCATTAGCTCAGATGGTTAGAGCGTCGTGCTAATAACGCGAAGGTCGCGGGTTCGATCCCCCCATGGGCCAAAAAAATTTTTTTTTTTCAAATAACGTTAAAAAAATAAAATAATGTTTAAAAAAAAAATTTATTTTAAATTTCATTTTTCTCAAGAAATACAAATAGCAATATATAAATATATTCATCTGATACGTGAATTCAAGTTTATGTAATTACTTTAATGTTAAGCAATTTATAAACTTAATGAAATGACTAAAAATGTAAATTTATACACATTATTTAATTTATATAGTCGGATATATGCAATCTCGTTGTTTTTTTTCTAAATTTATAATTTAACATTCGTAGAATTAAAAAAAAATTTTTTTGTGAAGTCATTTAACCCTTTTGCCTACTCTGAGTTATCCCCACTTCAGCACTATATAATGTATTTCCCATATTCCCCACCAGGCGACCAAATTATCGCTTTTTGTCGATAACGGTCAACTGGCCGTTTATTTTATAAAAATCTAACAATTTAATATTAATTTTCAGTTGATGGACATTCAATAGTGATGCGACAATGCATACCTATTGTAGATGTTATTCCTAATATTAAGACACATGAACTTCCAGCGCCTACAGAACCAGTGGAAATGCAATTTGGTGATGTTCGACTCACGGCTAATATTTGCCTCGGTAATCTTTGCAATGCAGCATCAATTTTAAATGCACGGATTTCATTAGCTATTGTATTTCTCTCTATTTTTCTCAATTTATAATTTTTTTACTCTTTCTTCATTTTAAACATAAATATATAATTTAAATAATGTGTAAAATTGTAAACTGTAAATGTTAATTTAACTCTGTATGTCATTAAATGTTTCTTTTACAAAAGCTTATTTATTATATATTTTATACCTGACGAATACCACTCAGGTGCAAATAGACCTACACTAGGAATTACGTACCGGAATGTAACCGTCACCTAGGCTATTTGAGAAATTAAACATTTTTAGGTTATGTTGCTACGTTCTTAGAAAAAAAAAATCGAACTTACTGATCGCGGATTCCCTTGACGGAGCGATGGCAACATTTCCATCTCGAAGTGGTACTCGAACGGTGTTTTCCAAAATTGGCACACAAAAAAACACTCACTCGCAATTTCAAAATTTTCAGACAATCCCGAACCGCGTGTTAACTGAAAGAATCAAAACTCATTTAATTTTTACTTGCGGTTTTAACGAACACTCCCGATACAAAAAAAAAATTATTTTAATTTATATTAACGTAATAAAAATTACTTTATACAGAGAAGTAAATTAAGAAAAATTAATATATTACTCGATCGCGGGTTTAGAAAACACGAACACACTCACGAAAGATAAAAATTCATTTAATTTAAAAAATGAAAATTGACTTTCTGCTTATGATAGCGACCGTTACTGTAAAAAGCTTGAGTGGGGATAAGTTGGCACTTATTCTTCCGGTTGCGTTTGCAATTACGATTCCGATTATGTTTCTCTTCTGCTCAGGCCTTAAGTTGGGTTGTCATGGTAACGTATAGGAGTGAGAGAAATAAAGAATGTTTTTTATTTCTCTCACTCTTATACGTTACCATGACGACCCTACTTAGATATCTGAGCTGTGGACATAACCTAAGCAAAGAATTAAAAAATTTCACGAATACGTAGTGTTTAGAACGAACCCGACACGCGAAGGTACTTTTCGAAAATGTGATCCCTCCCACTCCTGAACAATTGATGGGCAATGAATTTTTAATCACGTGATCGTAATAGAATAATTTTGAATTTTCCACCAATCACATAAAGACAAAATATCCACGAGAAAGAGATAGGCTCATTGTTTTTCTTCCATTCTTTTATTATTTCTATTTAATTTAAATATTAAAATATTCATACTATAAAAATATAAAAATTTTGCCAAAGGAAAATAATTTTCTATTTTTAAATATAATATATTATTATAAATATAATACATGGAAAATATAGAAAAAATTTATCCCCACCATTTAAAATTAGGGTGCAGTCACATGGAGCAAATTACAGGAATAGATATCGACCAATCAAAATGCATTCTCTTGCGGTAAAGCAGAATTTGCCGGGAAAAACGAAATTTGTATTCTTTCCCATGTGACGAAAAATTTAAATGATGCATAAAACATTAATTACGTCACAAAAACTTATTTTTACTTTATTTAAATCTTAAATTTAGTTAATTTATTTACATAATTAAATTTTATATATTTTTTAATTTAAAATTTAATTTTCTTAAATTTGATTTTTCAAAATTTAGTTTTACTTTAATTTTCACACGTCAATTAAAATAGTCTTCTGTTTATTTCCCTCTTCTCAAGATGATGCTGCTGTCTGCATCCAATAGTCCTTTCTCCAATTGTTGAAACATTTTTTATTTATTGAAAATTAAATAATAAACTTATTCTCATAAAAAAAAAAATAACTTGAAAATTTTTTTTTGTAAAAGTTGCCATTCTTACTATTTCTACTAATTTAATTATAACCTATACATTATTAATTTCTTAAAATTGTATCAAAAAAAAAAAAATTAATTATCAATTACTGTAAAGTAAAAAAAAAAAGTCGAATTTTTAATTAAAACAAAATTTACAAAATTTTGCAAATTAAAAATATTTCAGCAAATAGTTTACACTTTTTTTTTTAATACATAAATGAGAAAATATGCAAATTTTAGTAGCTACATTAAAAAAATTCATTTTAAAAAAAATTAATTATAATAATTATACTAATTGTAAAAAATAATTCTAGTAAATGTGTGACGCGATCTAAAGAAAGGGACCTTAGAAGCAAGAAAATTTCAAGTAAAACTGTCGTAAACATAACCTATAATTCATTTGCTTCTAAGGTCCCTTTCTTTAGATCGCGTTACAAATATAGAAAAAAATTATTTAGTTCATAGAAAAAAAACAAAAAAAAAATAAAAATAAAAATTTGAAAAAAATTACAAACCCCATTACAAAAAAAAAAATAACTTGTATCTCGAAATCAATTTGATAAAAAAAAATATTTAAAAAATGAAATAGGGGAAAAAATAAAAAAAAAAAAATTGTCAGTCCCATCGAATTAGGATTAGAACGACAGTTTAGTGGGGCCCAGGAACTTTACGATTACAAGAAACCACAATAATTTATTATAATACACCTGCTGTACACCGGAAATTTCCCAAAAAGGCAGTGCAAGGCGTTCACACTTTCAACCTCCTTGTACTTATTTCCTTAATAATTCAATTGGCAATAATAATAATAATAATAATAATAATAATAATAATAATAATAATAATAATAATTCTAATAATAATAATAATTTGTAATTTAATTAAAAATTATAATAAAATAATAATTAGTCGAGGAATATGTTTAAATAAATTTTCTTTTTTTTAACGCTATTTGTTTCAAAAAAACAAATTTGTCGACTAATTAATATTTTCTTTTTTTTTCTCGATGAATAAACAAACTTCGATATCTCCATTTTAATTTCATTTTCAGATAAGTTTCCTTTTATTTTTTATTAATTTTTTTTTAATTTTTTTTTGACAAAAAAACGAATAATAATAATAATAATAATAATAAAGAACGATAGAGAGAAGAAGTAGAAGATGAAGACGGTAGGGGGGTGTGGGGGGTAAGGGCAGGGGAAAAAAGAGACGAGATAGAGAGTAAATGGCGATAGCAAGGGCAGGGACCGTATTTTTGTTTTTTCACTATATATATATATATATATATATATATATATATATATATATATATATATATATATATATATATATATATATATATATATATAATTAAATATATATCATACAAATTAAAAAAAAAAAAATTATCCTATATAGAAACGCAGGAGCTAAGAACAATATTTGTTTCTTTTTTTTTTATATATAAAATTATCAAAATAATAGTCGCTTATTTCCTGTCAGTACAAAATATCGAGGAGGAAACAAAAAAACACGAATTATCGCATTCGTTATTAGTAATATTAATAAAAAAAAATTATATTATAAAATAAAATAGAAGTTACAAAAAAAATCGTTTCCTAAAAAATAAAATCACATTATTCGATATTTGCAAGAAAAAAAAAAAAATTTGTTTCGTTTTTGAAATATTTTTTTAAAGAAGGAAAGTTGTTTTTCTAATTCGAATAATTAAAAATCGGAGAAGAAAAAAAGAAAAAGTTGCGAAAAGAAGAAAAATTCGCAGCGCTTTCTTTTTTTTTTTTTTTTTTTAATTCTACTTTACTAATACTTACAGGTACGCAGATGCGATTTTCTACATCGTAGTTTTGTTTTTTTCTTTCTTTCTTTCTTTTTTTTCTTTTTTTTTTAATATTATACGCACGAAGTTTAGCCCCATGCCCTGCAATTGGAGCAAACAAACTGTACAAGGAATTATTATTATTATTTCTTTTTTTATCAATTACACACGACTCCGCTCCTATTATTCTCTTGGTATCGACGGAACGCGATGTTTATTTTTTGTCGTAAAAAAAAAAAAATTATTATTTCGGCTCTCGACTCTCACGAAAAATTAAAGAGAATGAAATACATTAAAAAAAAAAGGAATTCTAAAAAATATTAAGTGAAAAAAACAAGTTTCGATTGGATAAAAAAAATTTCCCAATTTTTTTCTTTTTAAAATAAAATTATTTTTTTGTTTATTACTAAATTTACTGTATTTATTATTACTATTTTATACTTAAAACTTTTTTTTCGGAAAGACAATTATTTTTTTCCGTTTTTGGGTTAAAATTTTTTTTTTTTTTTTTTTTTGAATTTACAAAATTGGGAAAGAGAGCCGAGAGGAGAAAATAAATTGAATGAAGGGCGAGAAATAGTTTTTTAGAGATAAAAAAAAGAGAGAGGAAGAAAGTTGAAAATGTAGCGGAGAAATTCAGCCCCTGCGCCTTTTTTTTCGCGGGAAATTATTCAGAGCGCCATTTAATTCGCAATTTCTCAGTTTCCTCTATCCTACGCCACTTTACATTTTGTTGTTGTTTTTTTTTTTTTTTTACTATCAATATGTTAAAATACAAAGGTCACTCATACAAAATCTCGTGTTTCGCAGCATCACTTTCATACATACAATTTTCATTATATCTTATTTAATTATTTTCATAATTATTATTTTTTTTTTTCTTTGCTTCCTTTAAAATAATTGTCAATTAATCGCGCGGTTTTTTTTTCATTTTTACTGTAAATGAATTATTGTAAATAATAATCGAGGGGGAATTTTTTTTTTTTTTAAAGGGTTTATAAGGGGGGGGGGGAAACGGGGGGAAGAAATGGGACTTGATGGTTAGTTTATTTTGTTCTCCTAGTGTAAGTACGCTCACGCTAAGGTCAATGGTATGTACAGTAGGTGAGGTATGCTTTTTTTTTTTTTTTTTTTTTTCTTTTTTCTCTTCTTTTTTCTTTTATGCTTTTTTTTCTTTTCTTTTTCGGATTCAAGGACACGGGTGATAGATGAGACTTTGACGCACGTTTCCTAACCGAATCAATAAATCTCCTTGCTATTCGTCTTCATCATCGAAGTCATCATCACTTTCCTTTTTCGCTAAATCCGGCGCACCTGCGATCGGTCCACCGTCCTTCATTTTCTTTTTGTACTCTGTCATTTCCTGAAATTAATATAGAAATAAGTTTAGAATTTTTGGTAATACAATTTTCTTTTCTTTCTAAATTGTTTTTTTTTTTTTTTTTTTTTTTTTTTGTTCTTCGTTGGAGAAAATATTTTTTTTCCATATTGAATTGGAAATTATTTATTTTTTATTATAATAATTTATTATTTATTAATTATTTGTTTTTATTCATTATTATTATTGTTTCTATATTTCTATTGAATTAATTTATTAATTACTTATTAATTTATTTCATTATTAAAAATTGACGAACAATGTCATAAATACCAAATAAGAAATAATAATTAAAAATGTAAAATATCGAATTTTTTTAGGCAAATAAAATTATTTAAAGATTTTTTCTAAAGAGGTAGAAATTAAAAAAAAAAATAATAATAATAATGACATACCCTTTCATATCGAGCCTTGTCCTTTTCTGACAAAGCCTCATATTTGCATTTCAACTCTGGACCGGCATCAGACCATCGTTTTCCTAATTCTTTAGCGATATCACCAACACCGTATTCGGGATTAATCATCTTCACCTTTGCACGCTCATCATTGCAGAACCAGAAGAAAGCCGATCTATTTAATCGCAAACAAATTAATTAATTTTATATTGTTCTCTCAATAAATTTTATCATTTTTCTCCAAAATTTTGTTGTATTTTTTTTTTATTTTTTCTTTTTTTAAACAAAAAAATTGTATGTAAAATTATTGTACTTGAATTTTTGAAATTGTAAATTTCTTTTCAAAAACAATATTTGCAATTTTTTTCTCTTTTAATTTTATTTTGAAATTTATTTTTAAAAAAATTAATATTCAAACTTTAACAATAAACAATTTTGTTTGTTTTTTACTGTAAATAAATTCATTATAAAACGAATTTCGAAATTAAGAAAAAAAATTCAAACAGAAAACAACTGTTTACTTAAATAAATAAATAAAAAAAAATCTTAAACTTTTAATTAACAATTAAAATTAATTCCCTCTAATTTTCCTTTGCAATTTTTTTTTTTCAGTTTAAACATTTTGCACATTACAATAAACTGAAAATATTTCAAAGGGAATAATTATTTAATAACATAGCAATTATTAAAAAACAAAAAAAAAAATAAGGTGAATTTTCTTTTTCTTTTTTGTATGAAATCTATTTGCATCGGGAAAATTTCTATATAGAATTTACATTATATAATAAAAAGAAAAAATGAAAAAAAAAAAAAAAGGAATTTAAATGAACGAAATTCCTCTACAGATATAGAGAATACTTACAAGGATCTCTTAGGCGCATTGGGATCCTTGATTTGCCTGCGTTTTTTGCCTCTGCCTGTTATTTTTTCGCCTTTAGGTGGTATATAATTTTGCATTTCCGCATCGTATCTCTTCTTGTCCTTTTCTGCCATCTCATGGAAACGCTTCTTTTCCTTATCGGACATTGTCTGCAAAAAAAAAAAATCATAATTGCAAAAAATTAATTTTATTCATCAGACAATGATGATAATAAAAAATAAATATAAAATAAATTTCAAATTATGAATAAAATTTAAATATAAAAGTCGAATTTTTTTTTTAATTAAAATTTTATTTATAACGTATACAAAAAAAAATTATTACCATTATTATTTTATTAAATAAAAAAATTTGTTTAAAATATCGTTTACATTATAATATATAGAATATAAACGAAACGTTGAAAATTTTCAAGCGTTTTTAAAATATCAGTTTAGTCCCTATAATCTTTTACAATTTTCAGATAAATCAAAACCAGTTTAACCGGCACATTAAACTGCAACGAAACATTGAGAGAGTTCAACCTTTCTGCGCGTATTTTTATTTTTTTTTTCACAAATATTTTTTTATTCCCGTGAAAGTTTTCTTTAAAACCTTCACAAATTTTTGTAAATAAATAAAATATGTAAAAAATTCATTTTTTTACACATTTCTTTATTTTTTTTTTAAAATGATACAATTTTGCAATATAATGCAAACAAAAATTGTATTTTACTAATTTTCTTAAAATAATTAAATTGTAAATTACAATTAAATTAAAATTAAAATTATAAAGTTAAATTAAAGAAAATTAGAAAAATTAAAATAACTAATTTTTCATTAAATTTCTTAAAAATTCTTTAGCAAAATTATTGTAACAATTATAAATTATATAAAATTCTAAAAAAAAAATTATAAATAAAAATGTTTAATTTTTTGAAAAAAGTTAAAAAAAAAAAAAATTATAACCTTTTTTGAATTTTTCTTTTGAAAAAAATTTCTTTTTTTTTTTCAAAAAGGAAAATAATTTCTTTTCAGGTTTCTTTCAAGAAAAACATTTTTTACATTTGAAAAATTTTACATTTAATTTTTTTCTTAACTAAAATTTCTGAGACTCAAATTTTACGAATGAAAATTAGAATTTGAAATCTGAAATTTTACAAAATTTATAAAAAAAAAAAATTATTTCGAAGCTAAATTTAAAAAACCAAAAATGTGTTACAAAAAAAAACAATTTTTTTTTAATTTAAAATTTTTTAACGACATAAAAAAAATTGTATAGCATTAATTTTTTGAAATTAGATAATTCTGTACATTTCGTATTACTAATAAAATATAGTAATTTTTAATTCAAAAATTTTCTTTGCCATAGAAAATAATTAATTTAATAAAAACATTTTATAATTTAATAAAAATAATAAAATGAAAAAAAAAATACAAAACAAGAAAAAAAGTAAATAAAAATTCACAGACAAATTTTGTTCCAATTTTTTTTTTTTTTTTTTTTTTTTTTGCTAAAAAAACCAAAAATGACGTTTGTTGGACAAACTTTTTCCCCTGATTGTACACTATTCTATTCAATTCCTCTAGGAATTGGAATTTAGAGAAAAATTTTGCAAAGTGGCGTCGAAAGTCTGAAACTTTGTAGATTCACAACAGACGAAACTATAAAAAGAAAAAAGGGGAAAGAGAGAGAGAGAGAGAAAGAGACGATAAACCGGAGGAGAAAAGGGGGAAGGCAAAATGCGTAGGTATGAGTAGTATAGAAAACACACGGGGATGGTCGATATATACAAGCGTCGACGACGACGACGTCGACTACGGCGCCAGTTGAACGAATCAAATTCGATTTCCTTTCACCTTTTTAGAAAAACAAAAAAATAAAATTTACCATTCCCTTTTTTTGATAAATTATCTCAAAAAAGAACACTCAAGCAAACTGAGGACAATATCGATAAATCATATTTCTCTCTCTCTCTCTTTTTCTGCGAAAAAGAGTAAAAGAGAGCTTAAAGTTTTGTTTGTTTTTTTTTTTTTTGGTTTTTTTTTATTTTTCCCCCCTCTCCCCCATACTCATACATAACCTTAACTCACTTTAGAATCGATGGGGGAAAATCTACGGCGACGCTTTTCTGCGCGGCTCGATTTCGTTATATTAACGTTTTCCCGGGAGCCAAGAGTAATTTCAGAATTTAAGGGTTTTAATTTCAAAAAGGAGGTCAGTCTTGAGTTAATATCGCGAGCTCTTTTACTTAAATGAGACTTTATTTTTTGCTCTTAAGTATAATTATCAAACTAACGAAAAAATATAAAAAGTCCGCCGTTTAGATGTAATAATAAATTTATTTTTTTTTATATGAAACAAATATAATCAAACTAAAATAACCTCAAAATTGAAAAATGATTTTTTAACGGAAATAAAGAAAAATAAAAATTAATTCCAAACAATTTTAGAAGATTCAGTTAAAAAAATTTTTGGAAAAAAATTATGTTGAGTTAAAATCTTTTGTTACAATATTATTAATATTATTATTATTATTATTATTATCAATCTTATTTTTCTTCTTTGTTTTGATTAACAAATTTTTGAATAATTTATAACCTTGCATTATTTAAATATTTTTATTGTTTTTTTTTTTTAAGTGACAATTTTATTTATAAAAGAAAAATAGATAAAATAATTAAAATTTGTATTAAAAATCATTTTTCAGTTTTTGAGGTTATGTTATAGCCTCTATCCTCCTCAAATTTCACTGTGGGTGTTTTCGGCATTCACTCAGAGTTAACTCTAGAGTTAACAGTGGTGCTCAATGATATTATCTTTGAAAATTTATTTACCTAAATAAAATAATTGATTTTCTATTTTCATCACCCTGAGTTTGAAGTTAGTTGTCCATGTTTGCTTACTTTTTTTTTAATTTATACGTATTTTTTGTTTTTCATTTAAAAATGGAACATATTTTTGCTACCCATAAACGTGTTATTTTTTTAAAGTTTATAATTTTCAAATTTTTCATTATTTCCCTAACTTTAATTAATCTGAATTGTTTTAGAAACTAGATTATTTATTTTAATTAAAGTTGTTTTTTATAAATAAAAAGTTAAAATAATTTTTAATAAAAATGAATTATTATGTTTCAATTTACACTTTTCAAATCAAACAATCCGTTCACAAATTTTGTCGGCCATTAAAGGTTAGGACTGACCCTTTTTCTTTACTCTCGCAAGAAAACAGAGTTAACTCTGGGTCATCTAGTAATAAATTTTTGGGGACTTTTATGAAATCTAGAAACAAAAAAATTTTATTTTAACATTACATTACTAGAATAAAAGGCCCGTTTCACATGTTGTTACAATTGCAAAGCCTGCGCCAATCAAAATGAATCGTCTATGCCAAATTGCCAATCAACAACATTCACAACCAACAGACGAACTGAAAATCAAAATTTACATTTGAGCACCACTGCTAACTCTAGAGTTAACTCTGAGTGAATGCCGAAAACACCCTGTATTTGGCTAAAAAAATATTTAGAAAATAATTTTTAAAAAAAGATGCAAAACATTATAGGAAAATTACAAAAATGTTTTCTTGCTACAAAGAAAGTTTAAAATTTTTAAAGATCTAATTATTCAGTAAATGCAGAGCCAAAAAAAAAAAAGTCGCGGAATTTTTAAAAAGGTCCAAAATATTTTAAAGAAGAAGTTTACTAAAATTTATCAACAAAATATTTTGAAAAAAAAAAAAAAACAAAAGATTTTTAAAGAAAATGAAAAAGGATTCTATAATTGCAAAATTTTCTAATATTCCAAAAGAAGTACAAAAGTTGCTGAAGAAAATTTAAAAAGCTGTAAAATATTATAAAGAAGCTAAAAAAGTTATCTAACTACAGAAAATTTTAAAGAAGGTAGAAATAATTCTGTAGTCGCGAAAAAGATTTTAAAAAAAAGTCATAAAAAGTCGCGAAAGATTTCAAAAAAAAAAAGGTGCAAAAGTTTTTGAAAGCTGCTGCAAAATATATTTTAGAAAGGATGCACAAGTTTATAAATAAAGTGCAAAGGTAATAAGCTGCAAAAGCTTCTTAAAAAATTTTTTTAAAGATGTTCAAAATCTGCTGTAACTATTAAAGTTGCAGAAATTTTTAAACCAGTTGCAGAAAATTCTAAATGTAGTGGATTATAAAATGAATATTCAGATAATTTTGTAGCTAAAAAATGTTCCAAAAAAATTGCTAATGTTCTTTGGAAAATATGCAGGTTTGTAAAGAATTTGTAAAGTCATAAATACAAATTATTCTATAAAAAATCTGCAGAACATAAAGAAATTAAGAGATTTCAAAAATCCAAAATTTTTATTTAGCTACAAACGATTCTAATAAGATACAAATAATTCTGTATAGCCGTAAAAGGTTCCAAAAAAAATTCGTGAAAGATTTTCAAAGAAAACAACAAAGAAACCTACCTAATTTCTCAGCTGTTTGTAAACTATTTTAAACATTTGTGAACAAGGTGCAAAAATTACAAAAGCTTCTTAAAAATTTGGAAGGAAATTCCTCATCATCAGTAACTGCTAAAGAAATTGCAGAATGTTTCAAAGCAGGTGCAAAAGTAAAAAATTTATAATACAGTAAATTATAAAAAAGGTGCAAATAATTATAATGTACCTATATTGTAGCACTAATTTTATAGCATCAAAAACATTTTTAAAAAAATAGTAGCACATCACAAGAAGGTACAAAAGCTTTAAATCTGCAAAATATTTCAAAGCAGATGATTCTAAAAATGCTGTAGAAAATATAAAACTCCCTAATCAAACTAATACGATTTCTCCAAAAGAGTATAAAAACATTTATAGATATAGACGAAAATTAACATTCTTCCTCTAATTCTGTTGAATTTCAGAAGATTTTGCAAAATGTGATGAATTCAAAAGATGTCTTCCTAAAGTAGTTCTACGGACCAATGTATATAGAATACTTGTGTACAGCCTTGCTTTCTCTGACTTCAACGATTTATATCTCCTTTAACTGCACTTGGCACTATGCCTATAGCTCTGCTTCCGGACCTATCATTGGTATCTCTGACCCTGTTTGGGGGTTAAGACATCTGCTCTCTCATCCCCTTTAATTGACTATATACACATGCTGTCACTTGGGAATCAAAAAATGTACCAAAAATCAATTTTTAAACTCATATCATCAAAATAGCGATTCCAAAAACTCCTTAAGAATCATAAAAACAGTATTTAACTCGAAATGATTGATATTTTTAACTTTATTAAATACCACTAAGTGATAAATTCATCTGTAAATAGTAAGAATCATAAAGAATTGTTAAGATTTTGCTCCGAAGTAACAAAATCTTTATTTCAAAATTTCATAATTTTATTCTAAACAGTCGTAAAACAATTATTATAAAACTGAAGTTATCAACGTCGATTCAATACAAATCTTGAAATTTCAAGTAAATTGCACTATTTCCTCGCCTTGGAAGCAATTTTTTGCGTTTGATAATTATTTATTTCAATGCTAGATGCCTTTAAAAAAACAGAAAAATTGCTTCCAAGTTAGGGAAAGCTTTGATTTTGAAAAAAAATTGTTTTTTCACCGACTTGGAAGCTAATTTTCTGTTTTTTTAAAAGGCTTCTAGCATTGAAATAAATAATCAAACGAGAAAAATTGCTTCCGAGGCGAGGAAATAGTAAATTTCTCGAAATTTCTGGATTTTCGTAAAATCCATGACAAAGCAATGATAAATATTGTTTTCCACGCTTCGGAAGCAATTTTCCTTTTTTTTTTAAATGCTTCTTAGCATTGAAACAAATAATTATTATCAAACGAGAAAAATTGTTCAAGTCGAGGAAATAGCATAATACTTGAAATTTCAAGATTTTCGGAAAATCCGTGACAAAACAATGATAAATACTGTTTTTTTTTTTTTTTTTTTTATTTCAGGTTTTGGAGGGTTGAAGAATCAAATTTTATTGATGGGAATTAGAATCCTTAACTTTTACTTTTTTTCGTTGAATCAACGTTGGTAACTTCAGTTCCATAAATAATTTCGGAAAATAGATTTTAATGCAAAAAAGTGAGTACATATTAGGAAGCTTTTATTGGAAAATATAGAAAAAAATTTTGTCCCCTGTCAAAAATTCATAAAAATGGCTAAAGTATAAATTTTTGATATACAAAAAAAAAAGCAGTTTTAGAAAATTTTTAACGACAGATTCGTTTACAGCACAAAAAAATCTATAGAAATCAACGTGTAACCTATTCTAATTTCCAAAAACTGTCTTCAAAGATCTATTATTAAAATCAAAAATTTTATTATGTGCCTGAAGTTCTGAAGGTTCAAATGAACGAAATCATATTTTTGGGTCTATTTTCAAAATTTCTACATTATTTATGAAAAATAAATAATTGAATAAACATTTTATTAAATTATTAATTTATTTTTTGGTACAAAAACCGTATTTTTTAAAATAAAATTTGAACCCAAAGAAGTAGTAAACAAATTTTTCGTTCATTTCAACGTTCTGAAATTGTGGAACATAATTTTATTTTTATAAAAACTCGGAAAGTATTTCTACCATGAAAAATCGTATTTTTAACCGTAAGAATTATTCTCGACAGTTATTTTTTTCGTCAATAATTTTTGGCAATAATTTATATGGAAAAATGTGCTTACAGATTTAAATTATCGTTCTGCATATCACAACAAAAAATTTCAAGACGTTCTAAATTTAATTTATTACAATTTTCATTTGTCAGAATTTTATTTCCCAAAATTAACTTTTAACCGAATTCTTATTCTTTCTAATTATATTATTTAAAGAGAAATTTCCGAATTTCTAAATTACAGAATTGTTTCTTAAACAAATTTTCATTTCGCAGATTTTATATTTCATCGAATTTTAATTTTACAGATTTTTAATTTCATTAAATTTGTCAGAATTATTACATACTTCCTCGAATTTTCATTAGACAGAATAGTTATTTAAAAAAAAATTTTATTTTAACAGTAAAAATATTAGAAAGAATTCTTTTCTAGTTCGAATTTTCATTTATTTGAATTTACATTATGCAGAATTCCTGAAATGACGAATTTTTATTTTACAGAATTTTCATTTGTTCGAATAAATATTCGAAAAATTCGGGCGCAAGTTTTCAAAAAAAAAACAATCATAATTTTGTTGATAACTTCTGATTGGTCAATTTTTAAATTTGTGCCCAAAGTTTATCTATCCGATATTTATTCAGAAAAATAAAAATTCGACGTTTTAACAATTTTGTCAAATGTAAATTCGAACAAATAAAAATTAGAAAAAAAAATAAAAATTTTGTTTCTTTTTTAATTTTTTTTTGAGAACATTTTCAATTTTGTAAATCCTTATAAATTGTTAAAAAAAAAAAAAAAAATTCACAAACTCACCTTCCATCTCGATGCGCATTTTTTTGAAAATTCCTGGAAAACAATATTTTCCTCGGGATGTTTTTTCTTGTGCTCCTGACGACAAGTCTGAACGAAAAAAGCGTAAGCGGTCATTCTTCCCCTTGGTTTCACTGTTTTTCCTCCTCTTGGCATTATTTTGTCTTGTAGTAAAATATGCGCGTTATTTGCCTGAAGATTATTCTGTTGTTGCGTTACTTGCTGCAGCTGATGCTGAAATGACAAAATAAAAAAACAAATCATTAGATTTCATTGTTTTATTTATCACATTTATTTTCTTTTTTTTTTTTTTTGGTAAATGAATTCATGAATAATAAAACATGAGAGAAATGAATATTTAAAAAAAAATTTTTTTTTCTTCTATTTTGAAAAAAAACAATTTAAAATAAATTTTCTTTAAAAAATATTAAGATTCAATTTTTAGATATTAAAAATAGAGAAAATTAATGTGAGAATTTTGATTTTTTTTTCTGCTTCTATATAAAGTGTTAGTTTCCACCTCTAAGTAATGTAGAAATGAACACTAAGACTACACGTGCAAACTTTCGAGCACTTGGGGGGATTCCGTGGGAATATTTATATAAAACTTTCAATTTCATCCACAGCTCCAGATCTTTCCAAGTATTTACTATAGTTTCTTCTATACGATGATTTTCGATAATCATAGATAATTTTAAGAAATTTTAAAAATATTTATTAATAATTTTATATTCAAAAAAAAAAAAAAAATTATAAATTAATTTTTACTAAATAAATTTAATAAACGGAAAATTGGAATTAAAAGTATCTAAAGAAATAAATAAATAAAAAAAATAATAATAAAAAAGAAAAAAAAATTACATTATTTTTTTACAGTAGTAAACGAAAAAATAAATAAATTTTTTCCCTAAGTAAAAAAACCTCAATTTTTTTTTTTTAATCGTAAGAAAATATTTTAATATTCAATATTTTTATTTTTTCTTTAATAAAACTGAAATTATTTTTATTACTTGTCCCGTCAATTTATTAAATAAATAAATAAATTATCATTTTTATAAAAAATTATCTCCTCTATATCGTAAATTTTATTATTTTTTCGAATAATAGTGAATTTTTTTTAACAACAGTCAAATAATAATTTTTCTTTTTCATTGCACAATAAAAATTATATATTTTTTCCTTTTTTTTTATTAGGGAATAAATTTTTGTTTTTGTTTTTAATGCAAAAATAATTGTTTCTTTCTTTTTTTTTTTTTTGTAAAAAATTCATTGTGGCCTTTCTGTGAAAAGATTATATTTGTCGAATATAACCCATGAAATTGCTACAGTTTATGTTCATACTGTAGATATTGGTAAAGAAAGAATTTCTGACCGTTTGCGAGTCGACCGCAAATTAAATTTTGAAATACAAAAATATATATATATATATGAAAAATTCACGACACAGAGGAATAATAATTTTTTCAAAAAAGATAAAAAAATATTTTTTTTATAATAAACAATTTTTTTTGTTAATATTAAATAAATAAAAAATAAATTTAATTAAATAATTTTATAATTATAATAATATAATAATAGTTGTTATTATTACTATTATTATTATTATTATTATTATTATTATTATTATTATTATAAATAACAATAGTAATAATAATTAATTATCAGATCTAAAATTACTGAAAAGTTTATTTTCGTTTTAAATATTGAATATAAAATTACAAAATGAGAGAAAACTGCACTTTTTTTCAAGATAAACTATTCGAAAAATGTTAATAAATAATAATTATTTGTTTAAACATTTGTAAAATGAACAGTGCATGACTACATAAAATTTTTCTTTTCTTATTATCGACAACATGATAAAATGCAAAATTAGAAAAAAAAAAAAAAAAAAAAAAAAAAAAAATTGTGAATTATTGTTTGAAACATGCGAAAAAAATTTGAATAAAAAAAAAAGTTGACTTAAAAAAAACGATCAATTTTCTCTTGTAAGATAATTTTAAATTTGATAAAATTAAATTATTCAAAAAATAGTGATAAATTAAAAATTAGTAATAATTAAAAAAAAATAAAAAATTTAAAAAATTTAAAATAATTTCTAAAATAGTTGTAAATTATTTTTTCTACAATAAAAATAAATAAATAAACAATATTATTTATACTGAAATATGGTTCTTAGGTAAAAAAAAAAAAGTTTTCGTCATGCAATATGCAAAATCTAAAAATACTAAATTATATTCTCCACACATTTTTTAGTATAAAAAATAGTTGAAAAAAAATGGCCCAGCTATTAGAGATAAAAATATTAAATATTTTTTATCGCCATGCATGTTAATAATTAATTTTAATTAGTTAATTATTATCAGTACTGTTATTATTATTATTATTATTATTATTATATTGCTCTGAAAAAAATTTATTTGATTCAAATAAATATTTATTTTGATTATAGTCAAGTAACCAATTGTTTGAATCAAATAAATTTTATATAGGTAGGTATATAATTATATTATTATAGTTAATAGAATAGAATTACTATAATAATGGTAAAATTATTTTATTTTTTTTTTTTAATAAAAAAAATTGTCAGTTGAAGATTAATATCGAGGTGACTCGATGGATTAAAATGTTTTGAGGTCTTTGTTTCTTGTAATTAATGGTCAGTTGTTTCTCGATCGTTGGTTGCCGCAAACAAGATCCTGCAACCTTCGCGGTCAGTATAGATATATAGAGGATAATTACATCCGTGAGTCATTGACACCGGGTCATTGCATTGAAAGGTGATGACATCAAATTTCAAGTTCTCTCCTGACGATGCGAGAAGAGAAAGAACAAAAAGCTTAAATTAAATTAAAAAAAAAACATAATTAAATTTTTAAAAAAATGAATTAAAAAGAAAATTAATTAAAATTAAAATTGAAAAAAAAAATTGAAAATTGAAAAAATTAAATTAAAAAAAAATTAAATTAAAAAAGAAAATAATTAAATTAAAAAAAAATTCAAATACAAAGAAAATAATTAAATTTAAAAAAAAATTCAAATAAAAAAATCAACTAAAAAAAAGAAAATAATTAAATTTAAAAAATTAAAATTTTTGCGCATATAAACCAAAAAAAATTGTCGAACACAAAACGCGCGAACATTTTCGCTTAGAAGGTGGCACAAACCAGAATCAATAGCGCGCACTACGAAAAGAGGAGAGACGATGAGGGACGAGGGGAGGGGGGAGAGAGAGCGGAGAGAAATGAAGGAGAGGAGAACTGGGGAGAAGGGGGCAAACACGGGGTACGACGACGTAATGGTGTAACCGCCAGGCGAAATGCAGCTTCGACTTTATTAACGTTCTAAAATGAACCCATTTTCTCACTCTTCCATTTTTCACGATGCAAGAGAGAGAGAGAGAGAGAGAGAAAAGGATGCAAAAAAAAAAAATTATAAGAGAATAAAATTATCAACTGTAAAAAATTTTAAAAGCCCCCATAATTATAATAAACTCCCCTTTTATCTAAAAAATAAAATAAAAGAGAACAAACAAATTCTACACTGAAAAATTCTATTCAAATTTAATTTCAATAATAATAATAATAATAATAATAATAATAAAAATAATAGTAATATTAATAAATTTTTACAAAAGAAAAATTTTTTTATATCAATTTATAATATTAATTAAAAATTTCAAAAATTATTGCATAAATAAATTTAAATAATTTATTTTTCACAATGAGAATAATATATCAGACTCAGGACTGTTTCTCGATTACGACAATTTGCTTCATATGACGTCATTATGGTTGACCCTCCATAAGTATAATATAATATAAAGTTTGCGACGTAAATTTATGAAAACATGTAAAGCCAGATGTGTATTCTTTTCAAGTGAATAAAAAAAAAAAAATTTTTTAAAGTGTCAAGAAATACAATTTTATAATCACTATGTAAAATAAATTTTGGATTTTCTATTTTTTTTCTATTATTTCTATTTTTCAAAAAAAATAAGGACAGAGAGAGAGAAAAAAAGAAAAGCGAATTAAAGCTGTTTAGAAAAAGAAAAGATAAAGAAGACAAAAAAAAAAAAAAAAAAGTTTGTCTACTCGATACACACAACGTTGACACACGCTTCGGTAACTACAATAAGCCGAGAGTCAATAACTCACGTGTCCTGTTGCTGTGTGCTAACATTCACAAACCGTGTGGAAAACACCCCCCCTCCCCCACCCCTTCACCAAAAAAAAAAAAAAAAAAACTAATCGATCGAAACACTTTTCCTTTTATTTCGCCTCCAATATATTTTTTATTTTTATTTCCAAGAAAACAGAAGAAGATAATAGTGTTGGTTTTTTAAAATTTATTTTTTTAAAATTATTTTTTACAAATAAATTTTAAATAAATAATATATATATATATATATAATTTTACTTATAAAAAGCCACTGAATTTGAGGTTATGTTAGGAAAGATGTTTAACAAATAAGATTATGAAATAATATGAAATAAAGACTAGGGCAAAAACATAACCTAAAAATTACGTCATTGATTTCAGTCAAGGGACGAACATAACCTTAAAAGTGAATCAAAAAATGAATATAAAATCGCAATTTTTTTTTGGTCAAAACTAAATGATTAAAGGGCGAACATAACCTAGAAATTAAAGGTAAAAATAACCAGATCGTAGAAGCGAACATAACCTCCAAATTCACGGATAAAAGAACCTTAAAATTGAATACCAATTTTTAAAATCATAGTCGAACATAACCTTAAATTTTAAAGGTAGGAGAAAAAGAAAATAACTTTAAAAAATCAATTGTTAAAAGGGGCGAACGTAACCTTAAAATTTAGGCAAAAAAAAGGAGACAAATATAACCTCAAAAATTTAGGTTTTAAAATTTAAGGCTAAAAAGAGAAAAATACATAACCTCAAAATTCAGAAAAAATAAAGAGGCAAACATAACCTCAAAATTTAAGGCCAAGATGAGAAAATAACTCAAATTTGAGACAAAATAAAGCAACGAACATAACCTCAATATTTAAGGTCAAGAAGAGAAAATAAACTCAAAATTCTGACAAAAATAAAGAGGCGTACATAACCTCAAAAATTAATGCCAACAAGAGAAAATATTTTCAAAATTCAGACAAAATAAACAGACGAACATAACCTCGAAATTTAAACTTTAAAATTCAAGAAGAGAAAATAAAAAGCAAAAACATAACCTCGAAATTTAAAAACAATTAAAA